AATAAACATAGCTGAACTGAATTGGCATTGTCTCTTGGAGTTCCTTGGGCTAGGCCTGACAGCTGACCAGGGTCAGAACACACCACCGGTATAATGCATCGGGGGCGTCTTCCCCCAAAACGGCCTGCCTCTGGCTCCCGTCATATCGCCCCATGCCCATCACCACCTGAATACCCACCCTGAGCCACCCAAGGTGCTCCTCCCCCCGCCCTCCTGGCCTCTGACCTAAGGGACCCGTCATACCACAACCATACAGAGAGGGAAGAGGGGAAAAAGGGGGTGGGGAAACAAGCCCCTGTGGCACTTCAGCTAACTGCTCTCAGCGCCAACAGGGGCCCAATCACCCCAGTTCCCCTTTCTCAAACACTCACCCTCTCTCCCTCGACTTCTCTCACCGGCTGGACAGAGGAGGGCCACATTCACTCCTACCCACTCCCCGTCTCCCACCTGGGCAGAGAGTAGCACGTTCAACTCACAAGCACACACCATCCACCCACACACCCCACAACCGCTCGAGTCCCCCCAGCCTCTTCTCTAGGGGTAGGGAAGCCCCTTGCCACATAGCGGCTAGAACCCGCAACCCCCAAGGTCCCAACGTCTCTGTGGGCTTCAGGCACTGTGGGCCCTCGGGCTCTGGCCTCCGCTCCCCCGTCAAGTCTGCCTCAGCCTCGCCCTCACCGCCGCCATCCCGCTGCCGTTGCTGGTGCTCCCACCGCTGGCGCTACTACCCCTGAAAACAGCAGCGTTGGGCTTGGGCCCCAGCTCCGCTGACACTCCCGGCCCAGCTGGGCCAACTCTCGGCTCCGGCATCACTCCCCTCGAGCCGGGGCGTCGTTCTCAGCCCGAACGGCACAGCCACAGCAGCCGCCACTAGCACTCTCCCGCCAGCCCCGCCACCACAGCCGTCGCAGCCCCAGCGACCCCCTGGGTCCAAGCGTCGCCCGCTGCCACACTCACCCCCATTGCCCATGTCCTCTCCTCTCTGTTCTCGGAGTCCTCGTCCCAGCCACCGCCACCACAACTCTCCTCCCCCTCGCAACGGCCCGCCTTGGACAGAGGTAATGCTGGGGGTACTCTTCATTCACCCCACATTCACACGTGGGTCCCACACCTCTAACTCTCCTCAGCCCCATACCGGCTATGGTTAAAAGCTGGTTTATGGTAGTTATGGCTGGGAGCTACGCACTAGGCGTCCGCTCCCTGCCGCCATCTTGAAATATGGATCTGCCCTAACATCTTTCGTGGGATTGATGTAGGCTTACTAGCTGGCAATTATTGGGGTCCTCCTCTTTTCTTTCGTGAGGAGGGCAACCACACTGGCTCTTCTCCAGTCCTCTGGCATCTCCTCAGTTCTTCAAGACTCTTCAGAGGTGATTGACAGAGGACTTGACAGCTCTCCTACTAGTACTTTCAGTATTCTAGGATGTATTTCATCAGGAGACTTGGGGACCTGAAGGCATTCAAAGTAGCTAGGAGATCTTTGGCCACATTCTTATGGACCTGCACCCTCCCCTGCCCTCTTTGTTTCAATCTGTGTGACTGAAATTGCTGTTTCCTTTGGGCACGTAAAGGCAGGGGCTAAAGAGGAGTCGAGTTCCTCTTCCTTCTTCATTTTTTGGGAGGTTGTGGGGGGTTGGGTTGTCATCTGTCAAGATTTCTCCACCTGAAGTAAGAGTGAGCCCACTGCCTCCATTGTCATCTTCTCGTTATGTTTGAAGAAACCCTTCTTGCTGGATTTTGCCTCTCTTGCTAGCCTTAGCTCATTTGCCACCTTGCCTCCCTGACCTTAATCCCATATTCCTGGATTTCTGTGGTCACAAACCTTTCTTTCCATTTCCAGAAAGTCTCCTTCTTTGGTCTGCTGGTTTGAACCAACAAGGTGCTGAACTAGGAGTGGGGAGACCCAGTTCTAGTCGTCCCCTAGGTCCAGAAGCCAGCTTGGTGATCAGTCACTCTGCAATCAGCTGGTTGGAAGAAACCCTCATCACATCATGCATCAACAGCCCTGCTATGAGAACTGGGCAAGTGCATTATGGAAGCAAGCAGATCCTGCACCCAAGCGGGGCACACTGAGAACCACAGCAACAGCCTTTGTGAGCCCGCAGCTAACTACAGGAGGGACTCCAAAGTACCCAAACTGGGGCTGCTTTATCTGTTACCCTCCAGGGTTCCTTCTCTCTGTCGCTTCCCAAAATTAATAACAGTAGCTGCCCTTAAATGCCGTGGGGACAGAGAGTGCTTTAAAAGGCCCTGTGGGGTGAGGAAATGCCATAAGGGACACTCACAAGCACCACTGTCACTTCTGGACTGTGATGTCACGGCCATGATGCCATAGTGGATTTGGGGGGCCAGGGTAAACATTCCTGCAGAAAAAAAGAGTAGGCATCTGGGTGGGGAACCTGGGCAGTGCAAGACATGCCTGTTGAGAGTGCTCGGGGCTCTCGCAAGGCAAAGCAAACTGAATCCAGGAGCCTCCCAAGGACCATCCATGACTCCCTTGCCTTTCCAACCCTTTTGCTAGGAATGGACTGGTGGTGGTACCCCAGCCATGAGCAAAAGTACTGATGACCCCAGAGCCAGCCCTGTGGAGAGCACCCATGAACCCAAACTCATACAGGTTATTTTGAAGAGCTCGGTGAAAACACAGGACTGTCAAGTAGCTGAGAACAGCACCATTGCAGAGCTCAAGCAGGAGGCCTCCCTCCACTTCTTGGTCAACAAGGAGCAAATGCTTTTGGTATTTGCGGGGAAAATACTGCAAGATCAGGATACCCTTCTTCAGCATGACATCCAAGATGGAGTCACAGTGCACCTAGTGGTGAAAAGGGCAGAGTTGAGACACAGTCCTGCCCTGCAAGCACACTCAGTAGTGCCAGGCTGTAGCACACCTGATCCAGCTGCTAGTGTTTCAAACCCTTCCAGAGTGACTAACCTGCAAACATTACTGGGAAACATAAGGAAAGACCTGGTGACCCTGCTAGAGATTCTTAGTGAGTTGCCTCAGGACTTCCAGCATTATCCAGAGCTCATGTTCCAGGTCGTACAGAGCCCCACTGTTCAGAGTTTGATCTCCAGCGATTGTAGTCCTCTAACTGTTGCCTTCATCTTGGGGGTCTCCACTCTGATCAGTTTGAGAAGTATGAAGTCAAGAGCTGAGAAAGAGAAGGTGGTTAGCAATGAGGAGGTTGCCCAGATTCTGGAGAAAGCTGTTGTTCAGAACATCCTTGCCAACACAAAGGAGATGGCCCAGTTCTTGTCAGAAAGCCCAGAGCTGAAAAAATTTGCTCAAGAGACTCCACAGTTTGGCAGACTGTTGAGCCTCAGTGGATTAACCAAGATGATGGTCATCTATAAGAAGCTTCCACAACTGACAGGCACCCTTACGCCAGACTCAGACATGAGCCTTGAAGGGGACATGCTGGATGAGGTACAGTCCTTCCGCCAGTTGTTTGTTGACATCTGCAAGGTCCTCTCCAGTTCAGAGGCTCAGGATGAACTTGAGGAAAGGATGCTGAGGCACACCCTTGAAACCAGCCCTTCCTTACTCCAACTTGCTAAAGAAAATGTGAGCATTAGCCACATGCTGAACAATCCAAAGATTGTGGGAGAAATAATCAGGTACATCCGGAGCCCAGAAGTCAGGCAGGAAATGGACAGACATTGTGATCGGATCCTGAGTAACACTGAAAGTTTCCCAGGAGGCTATTACATCTTGCAAAGCATGTATAAGGACATTGAGGAGCCCTTCTGGAATGCAGTGCAACAACAGCATGAAAGTCCTTTTGCCCCACAGGTTATGAGCCCATCTTCAAATCACACCATTCCACCCCACTGCACCGAGAACAGAAAGCCTCTGCCAGACCCCTGGGTTCCTCGGCACCTGGATACCAGGCTTCAGGTGACAGACAAGATCAGCAACCAGAGAAGCACTGCAGAAGAGAGAAACCTCTGTCCAGACAAGGCATCAGAGGGGGCTCTCCTGGCTTTCAGTTTGGAAAGCAGCAAAACTGAGACCTTTCTCCTACCTGAAATGTCAAATGCCAGCCCTGAGATTCAGACTTCCATTTCTTTCTTGCAGGATGGAGAACCACCAGTACCAGAGTCTCCCGCCTCACAGACTCCAGAAGTGGAATCTCAGGCCCTACAGGAGCCACCTGGCCAGCCTAAAACAAGCCAGAGAGAAGGAATGGGTTCTCAAGAGCTGATGGAGATGGAAGCCAAACATGAAACATACATGGAGACTCCCCTTGGCTCCGATCCCCACTAGTCCCACTATCTTTCACCTTGGCTAGGAGCCTCTTTCTGAGATTCCTACTCAGCTCAGGGCTCTTTGGGTCAGTCTGGTAATCATGAAAGGCTACCAGCCAACCAGGGTCATTGGCTGCCTCTTTTTCAAGTCTGGGGACAATAAACAACGTTCTTTGTTGCTGGGATTGTTCATCACAAACAGTGTCTCTTCCTAACATGAGGACATTACCATCCCCCATTGCCATCTCAGTTTCAGCGGCCTTCCTGGGGCGCAGATGAGTGTCCAGTCCTCCTGGCTCCACTCAGCTGAGACAATCTGCCCATACCATGGGCTCAGTCAGAGGGGAGGGGTGGTCAGCAGATGGCCCTTCCATGGTTGGATGTTGACTCACAAAGATAAGCTGAGCAAGCAGCCAGGAGCTGCGAAGAAAAGATGCGGGTCAGGCAGGCAATGTTGTGAGCCATTCTTCCCACTGCCACAGCAAGGGCTGGGTGAACCACGAGTGTTGAAAAGTGGTTGTTGTCTCTACTTAGCTCTGCCTTTCCCAACCACTTCTGTTGCGGTCTGTTCCTGGCTGCCCGTTCTCTGTTATATCTTTCTGGTGGATGGTGACTTGTGACCGAATCTAATTAGGAATCCAACTTCTAGAAAGGAACCTTTCCTGATGAGGAATGCCTGAAGTACGTCTGGGTTTTATAAAATTCCAAAATAGGCTGGACTGAGTACACAGACTGGCACCAGAGAGCCCGGGAACATTCATGCTTCCTGAAAGTTGTTGCGCAGTTCTCATCCCAAACAATGCCATCAAAATGCATTTGATAAAATGTGTCCTTGAAAGGGAAGCATAGACGTGTGTTCTGGGGGAAAATGTTTTTTAAATGCATATTTTAAGATAGAATATTTAAAACAGCAAAATTCAGTCTTCTTTGGAAGTGATACGAGCAAGCAGATAGAATTACCCATCATTCCTAAAATAACACACAATGTTGTGTTCTGTAACTCCTAGAGCAGTGTTTCTCAACCTTAGCAACTTTAAGATGTGTGGACCTCAACTCCCAGAATTCCCCAGCCAGCACAGGAATTCTGGGAATTGCAGTCCTGTATCTGTATATTTTGATCAGCCTCATGCTGATGCCCACCTTCTGAAAAACTATCCACCTTTTCAACATTGTGGGGGCCATGCCTACTAACCTGCAAGGCTGTCACTGTTACCTTTAAGGCCCTCTCCTTCCACAGCGGGTTTCATTCCACATTGCCATCTCTAGCAAGCAGGGCTTTTGCTAACCCATCTTTCTGCTCTTCCAACCACTGACTGCCCAGAGAGAAGATGTGGCAATAAGTGGCAAAGATGGGAACCCAGAGTGGGAAATCTCAAGAAAACTTCTCGTCTGTGGCCCACTGAATTTGGGATCTTCCTTGTGCCAAATCCATCATGCGGGTGACTGAGGACAGCTGGGCGCACACCTTTCTGCCTGAGCTTGCAGTAATCTCTGGGGAGTCCTCCATACTGGTGCTGGCCCAGTTTCTGGGTTGAGAAATACAGGTAGTCCTCGACTTACGACCATTTAGCAACCATTCAAAGTTACGATGCTGCTGACTTATGACTGGTCCTTGCACTTACAACTGTTGCAGCGTCTCTCTGGTCACATGATCAAACTTTGGGTGCTTGGCAACCAGCATGTATTTACATCAGTTGCAGCATCCTGGGGTCATGTGATCATCATTTGTGAACTTCCCAGGGGGCTTTCATCAAGCAAAGTCAATGGAGGAAGCTGGATTTGCTTAATGACCCAATGATTTGCTTAACGACCATGGTGATTCACTTAACGACCATGGCAAAACAGTTTGTAAAATTGGGCATGGCTCACTTAATGACCGCATCACTTAGCGACAGAAGTTCCAGTCCCAGTTGTGGTCATAAGTCGAGGACTACCTGTACCTCCCTTTTGCATGAAACATCTCAGATCCTTTTTGTTTTCATTCAACAGGTGACTGAGCTTAGCCTCTGCTCAGATCAAGTATGAAAGAGGTGGGAAGGTGTGAAGCTACATTGCACAACAGGCTCCACTAGCAAGTGATGGGCCAGATGTTCTAGAAGAGGGGTGGCTAAGGGGAAAAAATCCAAAAAGACTTAGGCTAGAACAATGGCCAAAAACAAATAGAATGAAGTTTTACAGGGAGAAATGGAAAGTCAAGCATCTAGGTAAAAAACGACACAAAAGCAACCTGCACAGGATGGGGAAAATCTGGCTCAAGAGCAGCACGCGGGAGAAGGACTTGGGTGTCCCAGCGGATCACAAGCCCAGCATGTCCCAACGGGGTAAGGCAGCCACAAAGACCAACAACAACATCTTACGGGGCGTCGAGAGGAGCAGAGAGACCAGGCTGTGGGAAGGAATTGCCCCACTCGGCTCTGCCCTGGTCAGGCCTCGCCTGGAGGATTGTGCTCAGCTCCACACACCCCGCACAGGTTGAAAAGGACATTGTGTCCCGGCATGGATATTTGTGGTATGATAAAGTTAGAGTGAATGTGGACTTTAAAAACCACTATATCAGAAGATCTCCATTAAACGTTTGGACTAAATGCAGACCACTTTTATGCCCTGAGATGCCGATGTGGACCTCTGTACAAGAAGCCTTCTATAGAACTGAAACGAGAGATAAAAATAAATGGATGAGATACCAA